TCCCCAGACAAAAATGATTGCACTGATGAACACACACAGAGCAAAGCCGGCAGTTGGCTAATGGTTCCTTTTAGCCTTTAACCAATGTTCACATAACTTAGTTGATTGTGTGTGCAATTGTTGTAAGATGCTCTCTTGCATAGGTGAACTAACAGCAGGCTGTCACTGTGCATTCCTCGGCTCTGATTTCATACAAAACATATTTAAAGATTTGCAATACCCTTTCCACTTCTGTTTACAAACATTGTATTGACTCTACTGAATGTAAAATTCTCAGAGGTAAAACATTGGCAGACCAAAAGAAAACAGAAAAATGCCACCAAATACAAATTGAAATTAATTACACAGTAACATTAAGAAGACCCTCTTCATTACGATGCATTATACTTCAATGCAAAGGGTCAATCGTTGTTCAAAGTGCACATCCGGACCAAATGTGTGTTTGGCATTTTGAAGGAGAAAGAATATCATGTTGCAACCACACAGCAAGGCACTTCCGCTTCAGTCTGTGAATGCTCACTAAAGAGACGACCTTTGGCATGTTATTTCGATCTTCATCTGCAAATTAAGTGCCACCTACTTCAAAGACAGGGCCAGTCTTAATATACATATTAAAGGACACAATGTTTAAAAAAAAAAAAAAAAAAACCTGAAGCACCACAAATAAACATGCAGGTGTTTCTATGCATTTACTGAGGCACCATGCATGATCCTACAGCTCCTATGCTAGAACTTTAAAGCAGGCTCAATTCTCATTCAATCAAGGTAACAGGTTGCATATATGCAGAAAACTGTAACTGCAACCATTATTATTATTATTATTATTATTATTATTATTATTATTATTATAAGTATTATTATTATCATCATCAATCAACTACAGTTTGATTTCATAGTGCTACAGAAATGGAATAGACTGATTTCAAAATCCAGACCCAGTCAACAGTTGGCTCTTTTCCATAGCAGGAAAAACAACTTAGGAACAATGCAGCCTAGCAGCTTGTTACCATGGAGAAGCCACACAGAACAGGGATATCAAGGTGGAGGCAAAACCAACCACACAGACACACACTTACCCGATCTTGTGTGTTAGCACCTAGTATAGAAATACACACACAGATAAAACAAGCAGGGACTCCCCTTGGCATTAGTAGCAGATCTAGAATTACCTCACTGTTAGTGAGCCGATGACTCACTGCTGTCTTTCTCACATTCACACACCGCCAGTATTAGGTTGGACAAAAACAGCTGTCATGCTGTCAATTTTTTTAACGCCAACTGCTAAAGTTGTGCCAGCACAGTAAAAGATGCAATGATCTCCTAAAAAGTTCAGTCACAGATTCAGACTTGTCTTCACACACAGCAACATAAAAATCACAGTTATTGTCAAATTCCACATGTAATTAGTCAACAAAAGGACAACTTGGTATACATCTCAAGTTCACCCTTGCTGTAAGACTGTCAAAGATAAAAATATTTCTTAAAAATACATTTCTCGTCTCTTGTGTCATATTAGAGGTGGGCGATATAAACAATATATGATAGAAACGATAGAGATTTTGACTATACCGCTCTATCGCGATAGCGCATGTTGATGATGTCATCAAGCTGCGCCTGTTTTGGTCGAAAGCATCACAGTGGCTACAACCATTATCATCTGCAAATTACGACAGTCACAGCAAAGAGATGAAGCACTTTTGAAATATGGGGAAAGCCAAAAACTGCGCTTCCTCCACTTCCGGAACATTGATTCATTAATGCTGAATTCTCTGCAGCTGCTCTGTTCCCATGTTGTTGCAGTATATTAATAACT